TTGCGCGCTGGAGAGGGCGATGCTCCGAATGTGATAGGGGGCGCGCAGCGCGTCGGGGAGCTTCCAACAAGTTCCTCAGAACTGGCCCAAGACTCCTTTTGCAGCGGGGGCCCGTGCGGGGAGATTGAGGAGAACCAGCAACGCCTGCTCTTTCAACGAGGCCCATGCACAATATTGTTTGGGAGGGCACTTTCGAGGACATGCGCCAATTCGACCAAATGCAACATCTGGGGCGTTCAGTCCATGGGGGCATCGAGCAGCATGCGCAAGCGTCTGATGAAACGCAGATCTGCTGCTCGACGCCCGCAAATCGGTAAACAAACTGTTCGACCTGATTACGCCTCCTGTTTTAAACGAAGAAATGCGACTGCATTCAGAAATGCCGCCCTGAGCTCGCAGGCCCCCCCCCCCTTTGGATTTGCATCTGAGGCCTCTCTTGAGGCCGAGGGCGCCGGGGCCCGCTCAGCTGAGCGCTTGCATGCATATCTTTGGGCGCGCGAGAATGGCCATGGTGGCGCTATGTCTAGCAGAAGGGCGGTCGTCACCAATCATGTAGGGATAGCGTGCGAGAGTACCCTTGCGCCCCGCGCCCTTGCTCAAACTAATTAATCTGCGTAGGGGGGTGTCTGCTGAAAGACCTGCTGATTGCAAACGCATCTGGCTGGGGCCTTCCAGAATGGGCGATGCGTCAAACCGAAGGCGACCAAACTGTCCGAACTCCTAGATCCAGGGATGGGGTATATCATAGTTTGTTGTAAAATATCTCTGCATGCCGCCCCATGCAAGGATCGCGTTCGCGGGCGCGATCCACTCCACCCTGTCTGCCGCCATGGGCGGGGGGATGATCGGCGTCGGGGGGTCGCCGCCGCGGGCGGGCGCGCAAGCCCTGTCGAGCATGAAGCGGGCCACGAGAGGCCCGGGGGGAAGAAGCCAACCCAAACAAACAAACCCAAACGCAACGGCAAAATAAATGGGCCGCTCGTGCCCGAGGCGGCGCCGCTGTCTCTAACAACCGCTCGCGAGCAAACCAAACACCCGAGCGTAATTCTGTCGAGTTCCCCGGTTCCGCCGGCGCTGTGCCCGGCGGAAAGGCGGCCTGGCAGCGAGCGCGTTCCACCGCGATGTGGCCAAGAAGGTTCAGGAGAAACAGCAACCAGGATAGGATGTAGACGCGCGGTCTCCAAGCCCGCCATGTCTAACCATATCCCTCCTGTCTAGCAGAGCCATCGCGTAATGAACGACAGCAGAAGCCAATGCCAACGCTGCGTGGTTCCGCGAACACATCAAAGACAATAATCCCAAAGGTGTTTCGTCGCTGATCAAGCACGTCTCTTCCCGTGCCCTGAGGGGGCCAGGGTCCAGCGAGACGAATGGCGACGTTCGGATGCAAGTTGCCCTGGTCCCGAACCCAGCGACGACAGCGTTGCCGCGGCCACTGGGCGCGGCGCTGGTGGGCCTCGATGCGACAGAGCTGATCGGATCCGCGCCGAAAAGGCCGCTCGCGTGGCCGATGCGCAACGTGCTGGAGAAGAGGCGGCGCGCGATTGTCGGCGGCAGCGAGCGAGAGAGCGAGAGCGAGAGCGAGAGCGAGAGAGAGAGAGAGAGAGAGAGAGAGAGAGAGAGAGGGAGAGGGAGAGAGGAAAAGAGAAAGAGAGAAAGAGAGAAAGAGGGAAACATAGAAATATATATATATATAGAGAGAGGGAGAGAGAGAGAGAGAGAGAGCGAGAGAGAGAGAGAGAGAGAGAGAGAGAGAGAGAGAGAAAGAAAAAAAGTGAGAGAGAGGAACCCAAAGAGAGAGAGAGAGAGAGAGAGAGAGAGAGAGAGCGAGAGAGAGAGAGAGAGAGAAAAAGAAAGAGGGAGAGAGAGAGAGAGAGAGAGAGAGAGACAAAAAGAACAACAAACAAAACATAATACAAAACAGGAGCGAGACAGGGAAAGAGAGAGCGAGAGAGAGAGGGAGAGAGAGAGATTGAGAGATTGAGAGAGAGAGAGAGAACTATATGTATATACACATATATATATATGTGTTAAAGAATAAACAAGGAGGGAGAGAGAGAGAGAGAGAGAGATATAGAGAAAAGAAAGAGAGAGAGAGAGAGAGAGAGAGAGAGAGAGAGAGAGAGAGAGAGAGAGAAAGAAAGAAAGAGAAGCAAAATCACATGAGTTTTTTTTTTTTTTTTTTTTTTTTTAAAAAAAAAAAAAAAAAAAAAAAAAAAAAAAAAAAAAAAAAAAAAAAAAAAAAAAAAAACATAGCGCGAGAGGTAATCATAGTTGCAGTTCCAGCACCATTTGCCCAGAGCCTGCGCTGCAGAGACCTGGTGGCGAAAGGTGTCATGCAGCCAAGCGGCGGACCTAGCGCGCGCGTGCTTCTTGGGGAGAAGATGGGAAGTCTTGAGGTCAGCGTAATGGCGATGGCGATGGCGCTGCGTGCGCGTGCGCCGGGGGGAGGGGGGGGGCGGGGGCGGGGGGGGGGGGGCGGGGGGCGGGGGCGGGGGCGGCGGCGCGCAGGGATGGGGGGGGGGGAACTGCAACGTCCTGGGGGACCTGCTAATGTCAACTGGTTCTCCATCAGGCCTGCCCTGCGTTTGAGTTCCACGCGGCCCAGCGGCTGCGCGGCTGCCGCCGAGCCGCGCGTCGAAAGATCTGGGGGGATCGCAGTTTTGCCGCATGGGGCCCGGCACGTTGTAAGGTCGCGCTGTTGCGTTCTATGCGCTAGACAACCCGACCTTTATAGATTGTGTTGCACGGCTGGAACTTAACGCTGAGATAATTGACCATGCTAGCCCTCATGTGCGTTTGTATCGTATCGCATCGCTTTTCCCCCTGATGTGTACAGCTCCCGTTCTGCGCCCGCGCATGACAACGCCCGTCGGCAGATGCAGCGCACGTTAACCAAGTGCGAAGTGATGGGAGGGAGGAGTCGAATGCCATAGATGGCGCAAGCGCACCTATCTTGTCATCTGCCCCATCTTCATCTCTCTCTCTCTCTCTCGCTCTCTCTCTCTCTCTCTCTCTCTCTGTCTCGCTCTCTCTGTCTCTCTCTCTCTCTCTCTCTCTCTCTCTCCCTCTCTCTCTCTCTCTCTCTCTCTCTCTCTCTCTCTCTCTCTCTCTCCTTTTTTTTTCTCTCTCTCTCTCTCTCTCTCTCTCTCTCTCTCTCTCTCTCTCCCCTTTCGTCCACCTTCGCTCTTTCTCCCGTGCTGAATGCCTATGGCTTCACTTCTCGCTGTGTAAGTGAGCGCGATAATGGTGCACCTACGCATGCAGCGATGTGTGCTGATATTTCTCGGCTTATCAGTGTCAATCGGTTCCTGCATGTTTGCGTGCTCGTCCCTCTCTCTATGCGCATGTATGTGTATATGTGTGCTACTTTTGCCGCTCTCGCTCCCTCGCGCTGTCGCAGTCTCACCTTCCTGCGCCGATCCGGAAGTTTCCCCAATTTCGCCACCGTGCTCGCGGCGGCCATCTGGGGAGGCGCGCGCAGGAAAAGACTCGCGGGGCCCGAGGGCGGACGGGGGCGACGTCGGGAGGGCAGAGTCGGCGTGCCGATGGGCAGCCCAGCACCCCGTTTGGCCGGAGGGGCCCAGTGCAACGCAAGGGCAGAGCCTAACCCCGGCCCGGGGTCGCGGGATCGGATTCCCTTTCCCAGTTTAAAATTAAAAATCCCAAACGGTGCCCTGGCCTGAAAATGAGCAAACGGCATGTGACCTCCTCGTAAAAAGCTGTCGGGTTCGGTCATACGGCGACCCGAAAAGTTTATCAGCCGACCTGGAAACGGCCAAACCCCATCGGACTTGATCCGGGTTCGGTTCGAACGACCCGAACATGTGCAAACCGCCTCGGACTCCTTGCAATAACATCGTTCTCGAGGTCTTCGGGCCACTCCGAAGAAACCGAACATGGGCAAACCGCCTAGAACCTCTTATCAACAACGGTTTATCGGTGGTTCTGGGCCCCGTCCGATGGAGCCGCCGATGGGCAGACCGCTCAGGACTTCCTGCGCAGGGAACGATTTCCTGGGTGAACCACTGTCAACGGGAACACGCCCCGCGCGGGACCGGGGTTCGCACAGGGGGCGCGGCTGCGCTCGTCTGCCCAGGGGGCATGCACTGCCGCGCCCTTCCAGCGTAGCGTGTGCGCTGCATTCTCGCGGCGCCGTGCCTCTCAAATGGGATAAACTTTCGGAGCGCCGATGTGTGTGTCTCTCTCTCTCTCTCTCTCTCTCTCTCTCTCTCTCTCTCTCTCTCTCTCTTTATATATATATATATGTGTATCGGTATCTCTGTCTCTGTCTCTGGCTTCCCTCTTTATATATATATATATAAACAGATGTTTACACATATGTCTTGCTGTGTGTTCCGTTATCGTTACGGTGTGTTTGTGTCTTGTTCTCTCGCTCTCTCTCTGTCTCTCTCTCTCTCTCTCTCTCTCCTCTGCTAGGGGTTTCAGTATCCCCCTCTCTCGCACACACACACACTCTCTGCCTGTATCTCTTCTGGACTCCGTCCGTCTATGGGCAATGCACCTGGTCTTCCCCTCCTCTTGCCTCCTCCTCCTCATCATCCACGCTCTTCCCCTCCTCCCACCTCCTCATGCTTTTCCTCTTCCTCCAACTCCTCCTGTCTCCTCCGTGTCGAGTCCTGACCTATCTGCTTCTACCATAGTTCTGCTCCACCTCCTGCTTCCCCAACCTTCGCCTCTCCCCTCCCGCTTCCTCCTCCTCCTCCTCCTCCTCCTCCTCCTCTACCCCCTGTCCTCCTCCTCCTCCTCCTCCTCCTCCTCCTCCTCTTCTCCTCCTCCTACTCCTCCTCCTCGTCGTCGTCGTCCTCCTCCTCCTCCTCCTCCTCCTCCTCCTCCTTCTCCCTCCTCCCACTCCGCCTCTGCTTCCGCTCCTCCTCATCCGCCCTCCCCTGCTTTACTTACCCCTGCTTCTCCTACTCCTTCCACACCTCCTCCCCGTCCAACGTTCATTCCGACGTGCGCGGCAGCTGTCTGGGCACGTCGCCACCACCAAGAAGACCATGCCGTGGCTGGCGCGGCCGAGCGGGGCCAACCCCCGGCGCCGCCCGACCCCGCTGCGCGAGCCAGACCAGCTGCGGTGGCTGCGCGCTGGGGCGAGAAAACGAGGCACAAGCAATGAGCTGGCCGCGCGGGCAAGTAGGGCTTGCCACCCTCCCCTGAGCGGTGTAATATGCCTCCCTGGAAAAGCCAGGGGGCATGCACACCTCTCTTGAACCATGGGATGGGGAATCCAGGTTCTCCAAAATCTGGTGGCGCACCGACTTAGCCGTGGCCATTGATACTACCGCCGCCCAAATTAGAGAAGGAATCCGTAAGGGTCCGCCCAGCTTCCTTAACGAACATCCCCAGCGTAGGGAAACAAAAACACTATCTAAACATAACTCTCGGAGCTCTGCGCGGACTTCTTGGAACGGCTTTGGACCCCCTTTCCCTGGCACGCGGAGCGCGCCAGGGGCGACGCAGGAGGCGACGCCAGGGGATCCCAACACAGATCCAAGAAACGCATGCGGATCTCAGAATATTCCCCCTGAGATCTGGCCGTTGCATTTTTTTACACTGGTCGTTTTCGCCTTGTTCCTGGTCCCAAGGCAATCACATATCGATCCAGCTTGAAGAATGCAGAAGAAAAATGGGACAGGGTTCCAGTCCTGATTTTCATACATGCTGCGTGCGATTTTTTCGCAACGTCGGATCTCAGGGCCCCCCCTCTTTGTTCACAGCATGGAGGGGAGGGCAGAAGGGAGGACGGGCACGCGTGGGAGCGGGGCTGGGGCCGAGGGGTGGACGGGTGCAGAGGAGAGGAGGGGAGAGGCAGAAATGCGGGGGGGAGGGTAACCACAAGAGCAGAGGAGGGCGAGCCGTCTTCTGGGCGAGGGCTGGGGCGAGTCCCAGGGCGCGTCGTCCCAGCACCGGGAGCCAGGGCTCACGCGCTGAAGCCGCCAGAGGGCCACCGTTGGGTCTAGCCCCCCTCACTCGCCCTCCCCTGAACCTCCTCCATGATACCCCCGGCCCCCCTCCTCCCCTCCTCCTCCCCTTCCTCCATCCTCGCTTTCCCTCCTCCCTCCCTCCTCCCTCATTCCCCCCTTTTCTGGCTTCCCCATGATCCTTCTCCTCCTCCTCCTCCTCCTCCTGCTCCTCCTCCTCCCCTCCTCCTCCTCCTCCTCTCCATCCTCCTCCTCATTCTCCTCCTCCTCTCCTCCTCCTCCTCCTCCTCCTCCTCCTCCTCCTCCTCCTCCTCCCTTCTCCCTCGAGCGGCACCTCCGTCGAGGCTTCGCCCAATGAAGCCATGTCGCCCACCGTCGGCCGCCCCGCCGTGAGCGCCGAGGCCTCGAGGCCAGCCGCGGCCTCGAGGTCGACGCCCGTACGGCGGGTGAACTAAAAGTGTCCGCACAAGTCTCGCCAAGACCCTGAAATGCAACAGCACTAGGGGGAAAACAAACCTACCTCGCTTTTGACCACCCTCGCTTCCAAGAGATACCAAACGATGCCAAATTGCAGCCTGTACTGGTCAGGCCGCTCGACAAGGAGGCGCGTGGTATGGCTTGGTTTTGCCTGGAAGCGAAAGCGGGGTAGGTTATTCAGGCTCTGAAGTACGTCGGACCAGCATGTGTTATCCCCTTCCCCTGAATTCAAAGATGACCCGTTTGGGCGGTAGGCCAGAAAGGCCAAGGACAACATGTGGACACTTCCACTTTGGGGGTTGGGGGGGAGGGGTGCGAAGCAAGGGTGTTTCGCAGTTGTGCTTGTTATCATATTGCATCGCCGTCCCGCCATGGGTGTGGACACTTTTTGTCTGGGCGCCGTAACTCACCGTGCGCGGCGCAGCCGAACTCCTACCAGCAATCCGCTCGTGCCAGCTGGCCTGCAACGCCACGCGCCGTGCCGATGCATTGGCGATGCATCGCCGATGCGTTGGCGATGCACCGGCGATGCGGCGCGGTGCTTCGACCCATTTTTTTGGACACTTGGGGGGCCTCCATGGGCTCGCTACTGCCGCCGCGGTCGCTCCTGCTGCTTTGGCACGATGGATCGCAAGCGGCTTTTGCTGCCCCTATTCGACGCGGACGTTTTGAACACCGCGCGTGTTGAGTCTCCATACGGGCGTATGAGGGCTATGCTCAGGTGGTTTCTCGTCCCCACTCCACGCACCGTGCCTGTCTCACGCTCGACACGTGGCGAGCGGGGCGCGACCGGCGAAAGCGGCAAAGGACGGGCCAAAGGAGAAGGATGCAAGGGTACCCTTGGGAAGCCGCTCATCCTCAGCGTGCGGGTGGACTGTAGTCTTTCGCCTCCGGTCCACGCACCGTGCCTGTCCCACTCCCAGCACCGCGCGACGCCTCCCGGGCCGAAGCCACCGCGCCCGAGCTCTTGGAGGGGCGCGAACGGTGGGCCACGAGCATCACCCCCTCCCTGACCACCTACCTTGGGCGCCCGAGTTATCCGGGGTAACTCGGGTCCGGGGTAACTCGGGTTTGGATTCCCGAGAAAGGAACCCGAGTTATCCCTGACCCGAATTACCCCTGATGATTCGGGGCTCTGGACGCCCGAGTTATCCGGGGTAACTCGGGTCCGGGGTAACTCGGGTTTGGATTCCCGAGAAACGAACCCGAGTTATCCCTGACCCGAGTTACCCCTGATGATTCGGGGCTCTGACTACCCGAGGTCCCAGCCCAACCAGGTGGCGGCGCCCCGTCACCCTGGAGTGTGTTCTGCCCCTGCCGAGGCCATGCCCATAGAGGATCGCGCCGAGATCAGCTTCAGGCAACATGGTCGCGTGCACGATTTCGCGCAGACGGGGTGGGCGGGATGGCAGCAGCGCTTCCCCGCCTCCGCAGCCAGTTGCCTCAGAGCATCGTGGGTCTTGGAAACGGCAGGGCACTGTTATTATTGCTTTCGTTCTGAAGACCACGATTTCTGGGAACGGTAAGCCTCCACTGAGCCTCCAAAAACCACTAAGCCTCAGAGGCCTCACAGAGGGCCCTTGCTAGCAGCACCCGGCGATAACACACCAGCGTTGAGTCTATGACAATAAGTCCTTGTGCCTCGGAGCAGGTTCAGTGGCCCGCCGCCTGCAACACCGCCCAGCCCAACTGCACGCGCATTCGCTGCCATGTCGGCCTCGGCCGAATGTACCTCTCGAAAACGCCACCTCGGCCGGGCTTGGCCCCACTCGTGGCGGCACATTGCTTCAAACAAGCGCGAAGGAGCCCTGTGGCACGGGGGTGGGAGAGGAGGGGGGGTGGAACCAGACGGAACAGCTCAGCCCGGAGCTGCCTCAGTCTGGCGGCCCCACCAACGACGCGAGCCGCCTGCGCAGCGCGGCGCGCCATGCCGCCTCGGGCCCCGCGGCCCTCTTCGCTTGGACGAGCACGAGCGCGGCCGCGCGGGGCGGCAGCGACGTAGCCCAGCGTGGGCACGGCCGGACAGCCAGCGCCTGTCAGCGTGGGGCCGCCGCGCAGCACTGGAGGCAGGCGACCCAGCCGGGGCCCTGCGATGCTACGTGCGGTGCCCAGGCGCCACCCCCGAAGAGGGCCCAGGCGGCCTCGGCCCAATCGTTGCGGCACACGCCGCCGCTTTGTTCGCCTGCCCTTGAGCTGCTCGCCTTCTGCCGTCCTGCACGATCAGGCGACAAGCCTCGCACTCGTTGACGCTGTCGACGTCCTCCTGGACATGGGGCATCGCCTCGTCCACTTCGGTGGCAATTTACTGCAGTCCCGGCTGGTCCATGGGCCCGCTCTCTGGTGCGCACCCAGAGGCATCCAGCCACTCCGATTTTTCGATGCGTGGGACACCAGAAAGCTCTGGACAGCCTCCCCAGGGCCAGTGTTTCGCCCTGAGTCTTTCTGTGCCCGTCCCTGGGCCCGCTCAGGGCTCCCCAGAGGCCGAGAGGCAGCCCCCGCCAAGGGCGTCCAGCACGGCGACGACGCCAACGGGCCTAACGTGCCGCTTCCGCGGACCGCCGCGGGCCGTCGCGGTCGCCGCGTAGGGCAAACACACCCATTAATTATCCATGCTGTTCGACTTCGCGTGGCACATTCCTCCGTGGACGTTTTGGGGACCCTGAGGTGCCCCCAAACTCCTGTGGGTCCCCAGGGCCATCGGGGGATAGGAGATCCAAGTGGGGTATCTGCTGACAGGCTGGCCTCTTCCTTGATGTGCGTACTGAAGCCGCGCAGACAAAGCTGTAGACGCGCGGGCGCAGGCCCTGCGAGGCCTTCGCCCCACGGTGTCAGCCATGATGGGCAAATGTTCCACCACCACTACCACAAGTAGGACGGGGGAGACGAGAGGATGGGGAGATCTTCCTTCTAAAGCTCCTCCTCCTCCTCCTCCTCCTCCTCCACCTCTTCCTCCCTCTCATACTAATGGTCGTGGTGGTGGAAAATCGGCCCATCAAGCAACCATTCCGCCCGCTCTGCGCCTGGGGGGCCCTGGGACCATGGCGTATGGCCTTGAACGCCCCTTGCTCTGGGGAATGGGTGGGAGAGAATCGAGCAGGGACCGACCGTTCCAGCATTCCTCTAGGCCTACCACGAAATTCTCTTAGAACTAAGAACATGTTATGATAACCAACGCCGTGTTGTTTTGTTGCTTTGTTTTGTAATAATATCAATCACTTATTTTAGAAAATGAAGCCAACTGGTTCAACAAAGCACTCTCCGCCAGTGCTTGCGAGAAAAGACCGCTTCCTTCTGCAATGTGCCAAGCAGGCTCAGCGGCTCCCGGGGTCTGTGGCGATTCCGCCTCAGTTCATGGGGCGCTCGGGCAATACCATTCTGCGTCGGCGCAATGAGAAGGAATGGGAGGGAGGGAGGGGTGTCAGCTGTGGCGCGAGCGCACCTAGCGTGACCCTCTCCCCTCTCCTGCCCGTGCCTCCCCGCGCAGGAGCAGGAGCAGCGCAGCTAGAGGCCTCTTAACTGGGCGGCGATGCGTCGCCGAAACATCGGCGACGTCGGCGATCGGCGCAATCAGCGTGGAGAAACTCTGGCTCCACATCGTGCCGCATCGTCGATGCATCGTCGATGCGGAGCGGTCCTTCGATTCCATCTGCTCGGACCCCACTTGGGAGGCTTACGGCATCAGGTGGCCCGCGGTGTGGACCGATCCCGGTCGTCACGACTCCAGAGCGCCGTCCATGGTGCCCGCGGGGTCGCGGGCATGCGCCCCGAGGCCCGCTGGCCTCTGGGAGCCGCTCCGCGACGTCCCACACGCAGATGATACAACAACCAGCGGACTCAAAGCACAGTCACGGTGAGGGGCCCGAACGGTCAGTAATGGTCCCTGGGTGCATGGCTGCAGTGGGATTCCGTGGCTTCCATCATGATTAGTGTTAGACTTACTGAGCAGTTAAGCGTCTCACTGTCTGGGGCCCCTCTCTTTTTATGCCACCGCATTCGCCAGAGGTTTGTCGCACATGGGCCTCGACGGCCTGCGCGCGGGGCGGCTGAGCCCGTGTGAACCCGCAGCCCCGTGTTACCTCTCGCCAGCGTCGCAAGCCCCGAGCGCCGAGCTGCCCCCAGGACGAGACGAGGCCACTTGAGGGCCGCGGTCCCCAGGACCCCTCCGCGGACCCCCAGGGCGCCTCAAAACCTGGCCGCCAGCGGCCCGAGGGAAACCCGGGCGCTGGGGAGAGGCAAGACGAGGCCGAGAGAGCCGAGAGCGCTCTTCCCCAACATTACAGGGAGGCACGCGGGTGGGGGAGCAAAACCTGGGCGAGGCGGCAACGCGGCGGCGCTATTGAGAGGGACCGAGCACGTTCGAAACAGTCCACATGTTATATGCTAGTATGTTTCTCACTGCTTGGGGCCCCTCTCTTTTGTGCCACCGCTTTCACCAGAGGTTTGTCGAGCATGGGCCTCGTAGGCCTGCGCGCGGGACGGCTGTGCCCCTGTGAACCCGCCGCCCCGCGTTACCTCTCGCCAGCGTCGCCAGCCCCGAGCTGCCGAGCTGCCCCCAAGACGAAACGAGGCCACTTGAGGGCCGCGGTCCCCAGGACCCCTCCGCGGACCCCCAGGGCGCCTCAAAACCTGGCCGTCAGCGGCCCGAAGGAAACCCGGGCGCTGGGGGGAGGCAAGACGAGACCGAGACCAAGAGGCTTCCCAAGAGGTCGCGAAGAGGCAAAATTCATTGATTTGTCAATGGTTCTTGCAAGTTTTTTCGGTTTTCGCTTTTCAGGGACAAGAACGGCCCAAGACGGCCCAAGAGGCTCCAAAGATCGCCCCAACACGGCCCCACCGGCCCCCCAAAGGGCTCGAAAACGGCCCAAGAGGGCCCCTAGACGGCCCCAGAGGGCCCGAAAACTACCAAGTGAGCCCCAAGAGGGCCCCAAGAGAGCCTCAGGAGCACCCCAAGAGGCTCCCAAGAGGGCCCCAAGAGGCCCCCAAGACAGCCCGAAGACGGCCGAAGGCCTCCAAGACGCCCCAAGACGGCCCGAAATGGCCCCCACACGGCCCAAGAGAGTCCCAAACCGACCCCAAAGGGCCCCCAAGAAGGCCCAAAGAGGCAAAATTAATTGATTTATTGTAAAGGTTTGAAGGTTGGTCGGTTTTCGCTTTTACGGGCCACGAACGGCCCAAGACAGCCCAAGAGCGTTTAACATGGAGTTTCCCGGCAAAACAATTATTGCACGGATGTAGACATCGTTTAGTGTAAAACGAGCGTCACATGCTCTTGGGACGTTCAGACGTTGGAAGGCGTTGTCATTTGGTATCCATACGTACATTCATACATACACATGCACATGCATACATGCGCAAAATAAACTCACATGTGTACACACAAACACACACAAACACACACACAAACACACACACACACACACACACAAACACACACACACACACAAACACACACACACACGAACGCATTTCGGACTCCCCGGGCTGCTGGGAAACCCCTTCCCGGGCTGCTCGACCTGCTGGGAAGCTCCCCGGGGGCTGCTCGGACGCTCTTGCAAGGGGATTCTTCGACCTTCCAGCCTGAGGTGTTCAGACCACTCTTCGCTTGAGACTCCCTCGCACAGCTGACTTCGAAGATGCCCTGCCCCTATGGTGCTCGGGCCAGTTTCGCCCGAGACATTCTCGTAACGTCAACCTCGGATACGCCTTGCCGCGTAGCAATCAGACACGTCGCACTCCGACACGTTCACAAGACCTCCAGATTTATTCCAAAGGTTCTGGCGGGGCTTGTCGTTGAGTCCCTCTCAGGTCGTCCTGTCTTTCAACGCTCTCGGAGGCCAGCTCCCAGCGTCTTGCATCCGTGTCAGTTCCAGCCTCCATGCCATGACTTCCGATCCTGAGCGTTCGTGCCTGCCTGTCCTCGGGTCCGCGGGACTCCTCCCATTACTCTTTCCCTTCGCCTTCCTCCTTCCCACCGTCGGCTGAGACATCCTCGCAACTATGACCCCATAGAAGCCCTGCCCCAAGGTTGTCTGGCCACTTCCGCTTGAGACCTTCTCGCACCTCTGGGTTCCGGGGTTCCCTGAGTTGAAGTGTTCCGGCCATTTTCGCTAGAAACATCCTCGCAACTCTGGATTCCGAGATGCCCTGCCGCAGAGTAGATCCTCGCAACTTTGGCTTCAAGGATGCCCTGAGCTAAGGTGTTCAAGCCATTTTCGTTTGAGACATCCTCGCAATTCCGGGTTCGGGTATGTCCTCAGCTGAGGTGGTCAGTTCACTTTCGCTTGAAACATCCTCGCAACGCTTACATTGGAGATGCACTGCCCCGTATTAGTCTGGCTAGTTTCGCCTGAGACCCTGGCACCCCTGAGTTGCGAGATGCCCTGAACAGGCGGTCAGGCCATTACGGCCTGAGATACGCATGTGTATGGACACCCATAATCACATATAGGTGCGCGCACCAATACACACCTGCGATTGACATATACGTATACATACACATGTTCATATGTACTATGTTTACACATATGCAACAGTGTACATGTGTGGTATACACATAGATATATGTGCAGAGCGTGCATGCGCGTGCGCGTGTATACATGCATGCGCGCCTGTACGCACGCACGCACCCCGCTTGCGTGCGAAACTAGGAGGAACAAGGTGCATGGCGCGCAGCGCCAATGCAGCCTTGTATCTATATATATAACCATCGCGCGCGTTTCGCGCGCGCTCAGGCTCTAGCAGGCCCCAGGCTTTGACGAGCTCACAGCTCCACTAAAGTAGTGGACCACAGAAGGCTTGAACGGGGCATGAAGAAATGCCCATAACGCTAAACGCATCATGGGCAATGAGAACGCCATGCGTGTCAATCCGTATTCCTGAAAGTTTTCGCAGAAGATGGTTGCGTCGGGGGGCGGAGGAAGGCCTTCTGGAAACATAGTTTTTGGGGGCGTCTTAGGGAGCCTGTTGGGGCATGCCGTCGTCGTCGTCGTCGTCGTCGTCGTCGTCGTCTTCGTCGTTTCGTCGTCTTCGTCGTCGGATGGACGCCTCCCAAGATCCATCCAGCGCTTCTGGACCTCCTCTGGAGGACCTCCTGGCCCCATCCGAAGGACCAGCTGAAGCCGATCACTGAGTCACAGACTCGTGCCCCAGCGTCCAAAGAAGCCGGAACACGTCCCGGGAGCTACCATACGGTTCAAAAGGGCCCTTGGGGCAAGTTTGTGCGAAACGATCCGAGGAGGGCCGCGAGAAGGCGATCAGTCATGTTCCCAATTAACTTCTCAAACAACTTTCTGATAGCGTGATGCTACCTCCGAGCCTCCGGAGACTCGGGCCCATGATGATGACCCACGTCCCCGAAAGGCTTTCTGGGGACATGATTTGTTGGGATGTGTTGGGGGGCCTCTTGGGCGTTCCCTCGGGGCCCCTTGGGGGCCTCTTGGGGCTCCATAGGGGGCCTCATGGGAGCCTCTTGGTGGCCTCCGGGTGCCTTCTGGGGCCATAGGCCTCGAAATATCGGTTCGTGTTCCCCTTCTGGGCCCTCTCGTGGGGCGCTCTTGTGGCACGATGGGGTTGTCTGGGGAGCCTCCTGGGCCGTCTTGGGTCCCTCTTCGGGGTCTCGTGGGCCGTCTGGGAACGATC